AGTTCCAGTGGCTGGTTGAGAAATGTGGAAACAGGTATCATGTTCTCAACAATAAGAACAGGAGTGATGACACTCGGGTCACAGAGCTGCTGGAGAAGATAGAGGAGATGGTGGCAGCAAACAGTGGATGCCATTTTGAAATGGACAGAAAGATTCTACAGGAGGTGGAAGAGAAGAGGAGAGCAGAGGAAGAGAGAGCTAAAGAGAGGAAGATGAAGGTGCAGAAACAGAGAGAAGACCTGAGATCACACATGTGTAAGTTACAAGCATATTCAGCATTTTGATTTCAGTCACTATCAGAATAGGAGTTGTACATCAGTTTTATGTATGTGGTAGCAAAGCACATATATTTTATTCAAATACAACAGAGAAGTTTCCTTTACTGATTAAATCCCTTTATTTACAACATAGTCTGCAGAGTGTGAACCCATTTAATGCTTAGCATCCAAAGTCTTTATACCATGTGCCACCACCCTTAGGCTCCCTGTCTCCTCTCCAAATGCATCACCCTATACCATTTTTACCAGTCAATTTTACCCAGCTGCTTCTCACATTAGCATTTTTAAGTGGGGCCTCAAAACCCTTCCTCAAATAACCACTTGGCCCTTTTATAGAATAAGGCCTTCCATCTGTTTCCTCTCAGTCTATCTGTTTTCCCCATTGTTTTTGAGCCCACTAGACAGTCGATCAGCACATATACAATTTTGCATACATTCCAGGAGGCCTTCAAAGAGACCTTTGGCACTCTACTCAGAACTTAAACATTCACAGGTTATCAATTTCACACACAATGGAGCACACAACATTCTCCACACATGTTGCCATGAGGCACGGTCGATAAATACACTACATGTACATTCCTTAAATTTGATGAAGAGGAGAATGAATGGTGTGATTTTCATCAGGAGGCCAGTTTCTGTCATCTTGATCAGCAGTTTGATATCACTGTTCAGGACTTCAACATGTCTTGAATTAAACAGCTTCAGATTACCATTGCAATATCTAAAATAAATTAATTATCTAATTTCTTGTAATTATTGTACTCATCCTTTCATTATTGTTTCAAATGAAGAACTTGCGTTTACTTATTTGCTCAAGTCATCAAAGTCATTGTCATTTTTATTTTCCTCATCACAAAAAGCATGTGACAAATCATAGTTGTAACAAAGAAACTCAGACAATGTGGTAGGGTCTAAGTGCAGATTTACTTCCAGAAAAATATCTTGGTTAGGCATGTAGGTTAACACAAGTGGATACAAACTTAAGAAAATAACAAGGGTAAATACCTAGAACAAAGGCTAGCAAAATATAGGCAAATATCAAGACTTTGCAACAGATATAATAATAATGATAATAATAATAATGATAATAAGAATAATAATGATAATAATAATAATAATAATAGTAATAATAATCACAGCCTTCTGCCTGATAAACGCTGGGATAGGCTCCAGCACCCTCTGCAACCCAGAAGGATAAGTGGCTTAGAAGATGAATGGATAGAAATAGAAAATAGGTCAATATAAAACTTAGGGCAGAATGAGCAACACATGCTAAAGGAAGAAGTCTAGGAGAACGACCGGGCATGTGCCTGACAGTAGTGGAAAATAACGGAAACTGACATGTCTGTACATGAGTTTAGCTCTCACAGGATAGTGAAACCATAAGGCTTATTAAAAAAAAAGATCCAAAAGACTAAACACCAGACCAGCTCAAAAACAAAAAGAGCAAAACATGGTACATGGTATCAGACAAAAAGAGTTGAGAGGAAACAAGCAAGGGTCTAAACCAAAAAGCAAACAATCCGGTCATCTTAGCCAAAGGGAGAATTCTGAGAAACAACAACAATAGTCAAAACAAGGTCATAACAGGAGAACATACAAATTCTGATAACTGAGATCTGATGACTGATGGATGATTGGTTGGCTGGGTCACGTGACTGACTGATGCATCTTGGGAGTTGGAGTCTGTAAGATAGTTAGAGTTTGTCTGAGAGCCAGGAAGAATGACAGTACAACCCCCCCAAAGAGTCTGGGACAGCCGAAGAACGAGGGCGACCTCAACAATGACCACCCATGCTCCCGGAAGTGTCTCGGGCCACATGTCTGGAGCTGTTGTGGTTCTGGACTGGAGATCCTCTCCCCGGATAAACCCTCTGATGACCAGTAGGGGTTTGGAACAGACAGCTTCTGGGATGACCTCTGGTACATGGAGCCGGACAGCCCTGGATGGCGCTGATGAAAGTCCTGCAACTAAGGGATCCAGGACTTCTATAGCAGATACCCAACTCCTGTCCTCGAGTCCAAAGCCCTCCCAGTCGACCAGGCTTTGGAGAACCCCTCTTTTCCTTCTGGAGTCCAGAAGCCTATGAACAGCATAGAATCGGGAGCCCTCAACCCCAACCAGAGGGGGCAGCCAAACATCAGGCGTGACCTTGTCCAGCGGGCCAGGAACAACTGGCTTCAGAAGGGAGATATGAAATGAGTTACAAACTCTACACTGATGGGGCAACTCTGACTGATAAGTAACCTCACTGACATGTTTAATGACTTTGAAAGCACCAATGTATTTAGCCAACAGTTTCTTACTCCGAGAACCTGGTCAAAAGCCAAAACCGATCACCTGGGGAATAGACAAGGGTGTCACCACAATGACGATCTACACAAAGTATGTGTTTCACCAGCATGACCAGAAGAAAGGGAAGAATGGGCCCAGGTAATGATACAGTCACAGAACTAAGTGGGTACATATCTGTTGTTGGGAGGACATTGTTCCGGAACAGTTGGTCTCTGAAGCTCCCAACGAATGGGTGCTGCAATTATTTCAAGATACAAGATATTCTCTGGTGTTTCTTTGACAGGAGTTTCCTCACTATACATTCTAGACAGGGCATCAGCTTTGGTATTGCATGTGCCGGGTCTGTATGTTACGGAAATATGAAAGACTGGAAAACAACCAACGGGCCTAATGGGGATGTAGCCTCTTAGCCAAAGATACTCCAAATTCTTTTGATCAGTAAGGACTAAGAATGGATGCTTAGCTCCCTCCTACTAGTGATGGCATTCCTCAAATGCCAGTTTGATAGCTAATAGTTCTGTATCACCAGTGCCATAATTACATTATGTTGGTGTGAGCTTGTGTGAGTAGAAAACAACTGGGTGTGACTTAGGTGGTGAGCCTTCATGTTGAGACAGAACTGCTCCTACACCGATTTCCATCTAACTCTACAACAAAGGGTTCAGAAGGATCTGGGTGTTTGAGAAAGGCAGTGGAAGTGAACACTGACTTAAGGTGCTGAAAGCTTGTTCAGACTGGGGGGTCCAAACGAGTTGTTTGGTATTACCCTGGAGAAAAGCAGTTAATGGAGCAGCGATAATATTATAACCCTGAATGAATCTGCAATAAAAGTCTGCGAAGCTGCAGATCCTTAACAGAGGTAGAAACTGCTTCGATCTTGGAGTCATTCATGGTTCCTCCCTCAGCACTAATAATATAAACTAAAATGAGGTGGACAAAAAATGAAATTCACATTTCTCACCTTTAACACACAAGTGGTTCACTAGGAGTCTGGCGAGGACCTGACAGACTTGGAGAATGAATATGAATATGAATCTGGGGATCAGGAGAATATATAACAATGTTGTCAACGTACACAATAACAAATCTACCTACCATGTCTCTTAAGACATTGTTAATGAATGCCTGGAAAACAGAAGGAGCTTTACAGAGGACGAATGGCATTACTAAATACTCATAGTGTCCTGTAGCGGTAATGAAGGCAGTCTTCCACTCATTAGCCTTCTAAATCCTAACAAGGTTGTATGCACTACAGAGTTTCAATGGTGGCTTTTTTAAGCTGCTCTAAGTCTACAGGAACTAAAGGCAAGGGATACGGTTAACTTTTGGTGACCTAAGTCCCCCAGATAAACCCCTGAGCTAAAGCCTCCTGAACATAATCCTCCATAGCTTTTTCCTCTGCTTGTATGGGAAGGTATAATCTAGATTTAGGAAGAACAGAACCCTCAATAATCTCAATGGCACAATCATAATCATGATGAGGAGGAAGTTCAGTGCCTTTACTGTTACTAAAGAGGGGATAGATACGGGACTGTTAGAATTAGGACTCTCAATGGTAGTAGACGTTAGAGCTATGCTGGGGTAATCAAGGCACTGGTCCTGACAAAAGGAAGACTAACTAATTATTTCATAGTCTGACCAAGAGATAGAGGGATTATGTTTATTTAACCAATGGTAGGCCCAAAATAACAGAGTAGGCACAAAAACTAATCTCCTCTTTTTGCAGAGCATTAGGACTGGTCAACTTAGATTTGAATCAGGTTTGAAACCCGCTCCAAATGTAGCTTTAATCTATTTGGAAAAAATAACATTTGATGTGGCTTTTTGCCATTCAGACTGCAGAAAATCTGTCCTGCTCAAATCAGATATGCCAAAATATTGAGTTGAACTGCTTGTATGAACAAGGTCTTTGTATCCTTATGTTGAAAATCTAACTAAATAATTTTTTTACACCAATATGCGCATGGGGTTCTTTTGCTCTGTGTGTGTGGGGAAATCTTTTGCCCCTAAAGTCTAAGTTTACATTTTCACTTGAAAAGATTTTTTTTTCCTTTCAAAATCAAGTGTAAAGATACTGCTCTCTCCACAATCCCCATCACCATACTTTTAAATACATTTTCTCAGCAACTTAAATTCATAGATAGCTATTATCCAAGGACAAAAGGTTTCTGGGGGAATAAATCCCAGGAACGCCATCATCTAAATGTGTTTTCATAATTAATTGAACCAAAGCTGTTCAGCGAGTGTGTTAAAATTAGATTTAACCTGATCATTTGAGAAGTAAAAAAATAATTGTATTAGATATTTTTTTCCTTTAACTTTCTACATAATAACAAAACAAATACAGAATTTTATTTCTCCAAAACAATGTTGCTTTTAATTAAAGAATGTTTCTCATTTTTTCTGTGGATGTTTTTCTCCAGCTGGTGTCTTGTGTCTCTCAGAGCTGAGGATTGTGCTGCTGGGGAACAGAAATGCTGGGAAGAGTTCAGCAGGAAACACCATCCTGAACAGAGAGGAGTTTGAGTTAAAGAGAGCTGCTCAGTGTGTGAAGAGACAGAGAGAAGTAGCAGGGAGACACATCACTGTGGTTGAAGCTCCAGGATGGTGGAAGAATATACCTGTAGAGGAGAGCACTGAGTTACTGAAACAGGAGATTGTGCTCAGTGTGTCTCTGTGTCCTCCAGGACCTCACTGTCTGCTGCTGATCATACGTCTGAACAATATTTTTAAAGACAATTATAGAAATATAATAGAGGGCTATCTGAGAATTTTTACTGATACAGTCTGGAGTCACACTATAGTGCTGTTCACTCATGAAGACTGTCTAGGAAACACACCCATAGAGCAGCACATTGAGAGTGAAGGGAAGGAGCTCCAGTGGCTGGTTGAGAAATGTGGGAACAGGTATCATGTTCTCAACAATAAGAACAGGAGTGATGACACTCAGGTCACAGAGCTGCTGGAGAAGATAGAGGAGATGGTGGCAGCAAACAGTGGACGCCATTTTGAAATGAACAGAAAGATTCTACAGGAGGTGGAAGAGAAGAGGAGAGCAGAGGAAGAGAGAGCTAAAGAGAGGATGATGGTGCAGAATCAGAGAGAAGACCTCAGATCATACATGCGTAAGTCATTTAATGAACATGAATTTCTTTAAATTTAATGAAGAGAAGAACAAATTATATGATTTTTCTCAGGTTTCAGTTTCAGTTTCAGTCATCCTGATCAGAAGTTTGATTCCATAGTTCAGTCTTCAACAAGTCCTGAATCAAACAGCTTCAGATTACCACTATCATTTCTAAAACAAATTAATTACCCTAACTCTTTTAATTATTTCATTGGTGATTTCATTTTTTTTAAACGAGGAACTCCTTTTTTGCTCAAGTCATTAAAGTCATTATTGTAATTTTTGTTTTGTTCCTTGTCTCAAAGGTTGCCTAATGGTTCCTCATCACAGAGAGCATGTAGACAAATTGCAGTGGAAAAATGAAGTTAACTGTCCTCCTTAAGAACAGTGTTCATTTGCTGTAAAGCAAAATTGTATCTGTACAATTGCAGGATGATGATGCATAGACTTATACACAATTAGAGGAAATAAATCAAAACAGCAGACAGTTTTGCTTTATAGAACAAAAAAACAAAATCTTAAAAAGAGGCATCTTGCACTGAATTTGGTGCAAGAAGGCCCTACTTGGAGTACAACATAGGATGGCAATGATGCCAGATTTGTGGACCGATGCCTATATCCAGTATTTTTCATGTACATATCTACTTATACAGATACAAAAATAATTAAGAGACATAGAAATTAGGACTAAATCTACCTCAACCAGCATCACAGAGAAACACACTGTTTATTTCTGTAGAGTTATTCATGCAGTAAAATGAATAAAACATAGGTATTTTAGCACAGTATCCCAGCGTCACCTAAACATTCTGCTCTTCCAGAGTACAATAAACACATCATCAAATATCAGTTTGAAATATTTTTCAAATTGAAAAAATCTAAATTTTTGTCTAATGCCAATAATTTCTTAAGGCAAATATCTACCAATACTGATATGATATTAATATGATTTCAATATGCATCCTATTGTGAAGCCCTGCTGGCAAATATTGTATTGGTTTTTCATGTGTGTTTTGTAGAACATTTGATTCATATGTCAGATCATTTCTAGTATTTGCATTTCAATATTTTTTATTAATTAAATGACTAGAACCATTAACAATATTTAAAAAAACATGTTCAATTGAAATTGAGGCCTCAATAAAATTTAACTTAATAATCCAATGTCGATTTTGTCAATTATACAGCTAGCTATTGTGATTTTTAGTAAACATGTTAAGTACATTCATTAATGGTAATACCATTCATTAATAGCTGACTTTTAAGGCCAATTGTTTAGATTTCAAGTTAGAAGTGACCAGAACTGATTGCTGCTGTCAGACTTTAGTCACATTTGCTCACATATCCATATTTGTTGCCATAGTTACCACCACGCACTTGTGCATACTCTGACTAGGTGAGTGTAAAACTAAGCGAATCTAACGATAATAACTAGCTAATAGGATGACCATGCTGTATTTTACAACAGAGTTTCATTTTTTATTTCCTACAGCATGAACAGAACAGGATATTAGTGCATTTAGACCTGGCCAACGGACTGCAAACAAGATACAGGCTGTACAGTGATATTCAGAGTCAGGTTTAAGTGAATGAAGCAGACACTGTAAACTACAACATACAAAGTAAAAAATATGTTGTGATAAAAGCTTCTACTCTCCCTGTTTAAGCTGTAATATGTGAATACATAGCATTGACTTTCTTGTTGTACATTCGAACATCATGAACAATCACGCTTTGTTTGATTTTGTCAGTTCTCATGTTTTTAAGCAATAAGGTTTGATATGTGACATCACTCAGCCCCCCATCAGCAGCTAAATTGCACCACAACAGTGTCATTTGTTTGTGCTGCATTCATGCTGGTTTGTGCCATTTAACAGAAATATTTATGCTGTTTTAATTTTTAAGTTATTAAGCAATAATGTTTTGATGAATGATGCCGCTTGCCCCCAATCTCACCAAAACAGTGTCACTCTTTTGTGCTGGCCTGTGCTGTTTTATACGACGGCATTTTAGGGCCACTCTTAATAAAAATAAAAATAGTTGACTCAAGAAAAAAGTTATAACATTTTGAGAAAAAAAGTCATACGGCATGATATTTCAAGAATAAAGTTATAATATGTCGCAAAAAAGTCATACTATTTCTAGAAAAAAGTTGTAATATTTTTAGAAAAAAAAGTTGTTATATTTCGAGAATATAGTTAATATTGAGAGGAAAAAAGTTGCAGAATTATGACATTAAAGTGGCATTAATACCAAGAAAAGTCACAATATTGTGACCAAAGGGTTTGCAAAGGAAAGACAGCACCTCCTCGTGTTAAAATGAGGGGCGTTGAGGAGTTGGAGTTTCATATCAATTTCACCCATAAAGAAATACTCAGTCTTCCTGTCTCTCCAGGCACATCAGCACCAGATTGGCATTAGTGTGAGAAACCGCTGAAACGGCTGAGCATGAAACTGCAGAGCCGGCTGAGCAGTGTTTATTTAGAATAAAGAGCCAGACGGACTCGGAGGAAACTGTCTGTCTGTTTTTTTAAGGAGAATCACAGGCAGGGTCGTCTACACAGCTATCAGTGGCTACATCTCCGTGCCATTCAAAGAGGGCAATGATAATCAAAATGATTGATCCACAAGGAGACAGGAGTGTGTGGAACTCCGGCATGCCAGTACAGCAACCGAGACCCCAGTGTGTTATGGCAGCCTCCCTACAGTTAGCCCACTTTTTTACGACTTTATTCCCGAAATATTACAACTTTATTCTCAAAGTCTACTATATATATTTTTTATTAACAGTGGCCCTAAAACGCTGTCATAGTTTTAATAATCAAGTTATAGGCTAAAGATTTTTTTTTCAATAAATGTCATCACTCAGCTCCTCCATCAACATCTAAATAGTTTTGACAGAAATGTAAGAATAATACAGAAAACCTATATTTTGAGAACTGACTGAAAAATTAATTTTCAATGATTACATGTTGCACATAAATAGCATGACAAAATTACAGCATATTGTGGGAATTTATTAACATTGAGCTAGATGACAAAGTGAAATATTGCTCAGTGTATTTACAGTTAGTATTTCAGCTCAATTGGTAAGAAAACCAAATACCTAAGATGTGATGTACAGCAAGTTAGGCAAATTTTAAAGAATCATAAAAACTACTTAGAGCACAGTTTTGACATTTTCTATGGTTGTAAGAATTAATTTGAAGTGTAATCTTCTAGATGTAATCTTCTTTTTCTGTCTGCAATATTAAAGCTAAATTTACGCCTTCCCTAACCCTATATTCTGTAAATGAATAAGGCAGAGCAGAGGGTCAGAGGCCAACACTTCTAACAGTAGTGAAATACTTACATTTTCTTTTCTGCAGGAGCATGTGTGCCAGTGTTGTTTCTTCTGAACAGCCGTTCTCCTTTAAAGTCCTCTTGAGGGCAGTGTCAGTTGAAGAGAGGGCTCATTGAAATATCTGAATGTATATGTGTCCTGCCTTTAAATTCACTTGGTTTTAAATATTACCAAGTGATTATGTAATTACTGTCTGTTAGATAATGGATGAGGTGTTGCTGTTCTTCATTAGGAGCTACTGATGATCAGGAACAATATAAAATTAAACAATGGTAACTCATTATTAATGAACTAGGAGTTAATGATGATCAGGAACAGTATAAAGTGAAACACATGGTAACTCACTATTAATGAACTAGGAGTTAATGATGATCAGGAACAGTATTATAGAGTGAAACACATGGTAACTCATTATTAATGAACTAGGAGTTAATGATGATCGGGAACAGTATAAAGTGAAATACTTGGTAACTCATAATGAATGAACTAGGAGTTAATGATGACCTGGGACAGTATTATAAAATGAAACACATGGTAATTCAATATTAATGAACTAGGAGGTGATCATGATCAGGAACAGTATTTTAAAGTGAAACACATGGTAACTAATTATTAATGAACTAGGAATTGATGATCTGGAACAGTATTATAAAGTGAAACACATGGTAATCACTATTAATGAACAGGAGTTAATGATGATCAGGAACAGTATTATAAAGTGAAACACATGGTAATTCAATATTAATGAACTAGGAGGTGATCATGATCAGGAACAGTATTATAAAGTGAAACACATGGTAACTAATTATTAATGAACTAGGAATTGATGATCTGGAACAGTAATATAAAGTGAAACACATGGTAACTCACTATTAATGAACAGGAGTTAATGATGATCAGGAACAGTATTATAAAGTCAAGCACATGGTACCTAATTATTTTAAAAATTCCTTTTAAACAGCAAAGTAGTCATTTTAATTGTCACTTTTAGTCAGCTCTTGACATATACTCAATGCAATTATGCAGCTGAATAATTAAAGCTGAAAAAGTCAAATAACTCTGTTGTAATCAGGGACACCGACTTCTCAGGAGGCAAAGATCATGTTTCTCAGATCTTCAGCATCAACCAGTGTCAAGGGTGTGGTAAATAATGTAATGACAAAAACTGATTATCCAACAACTTAAAAATTAGAAGAGCAAAAACATTTCTTGAACAACACAAACCAGGGCAAATGAAGCAATAACAAATGAGACTATTTTGTGCTGGGGGCTGAGTGATGTCACAGATAATAAAATTTAATGTTTAATTTCTCAAAAACAGTGGCAGCACAAATGATTCCTATGGCGCAAACCAGCACAAACGAAGCACAAACAAATAGTAGTAGTATTTAAAATAGTAGTATTTTTATTCCATTTCTGATCACATAGGGGGCTAGCTTCATAGAGTTGTTTTGTTTAGTTGTTTTTTGCCCCTACCTAGTCAGTCTATGCATGCATGTGTCATTACAATGGCAACCAGTGTGAACATGTACGCAAATGTGACTGCAGTCTAACCGATCAGATCACTTATCCAACAAATCCAATTTGCTGGATTGTAAATCCAGGTCCATCAGCTGCTTTGCATCTGAAAATGCAGGTCGGTGTTGAAAGCTTTTTCTTACTATATCTCAGTGAATGACTGAAGTTACCATGATGTGATGTGTAACGTGCCAACAAGAGTCAGATGCTCGCAGTTTGCAAAGACTAAAGAGGCTTTACTTCCAGAATCAAAGTCCAAGTTCTCAGTCAAAAAACATGCATGGGTCAAATCCAAAATACACAGCAGATACACAAGGACAAACATAACACGATGTGAACAGTCCAAAAAGGGGCAGGCAAAAGACGTAGTCGAAGAACAGGCAAAAAACGTCAAAAACATGAATCAGATGAATCCAGCAACACAATCTAAAGCACTGATAGGAGTGTGAGACAAGGTCAGGAGTCATGTGATTCTGGGAGATGGAGTCCAAGTGAGACTCAGTGTGTGAGGGAAGCTCTGCAGTCATGTGATCTCCCAGAGGATTTTCCACCATAAGCAAACCAGTATTGTTAACCTTCATTGTGCGGTTTAAGGAAACCATGTCTGGCTTCATGCCAGCTAGCTAACAAACTTAGCTTACTTTAAGCTGAGAGGCTTGGTAGCAGTGCTAGTGATACAAATCCCAATACAGGGAGTTTAGAGTCTTATCAACACGAAAAACAGCTGGATGGACAGTCAGTACAGAGTTCAATTAAGTTGTACCTTAATGTTAAGAGAGCTTACAGTTAAAGTCCTTCTTATTCAGTGGTCTGTGCTGTGATGTCGGAGCAGAAAACAGAAATTCCCTCACAGCATTGTTTGAATCCTGCAGCAATAGATCACGTGATCACAGTACACAGACACAGTTCACTGAAAATACTGTGAGAATTAAACTGAATGTCACTCACTTGTAGAGGAGAAATCAGTCATGATTATCCTTTCAGTTTATGCATTTTTCTAAGTCCAGTGTGGCTTTTTTATTGTGTTGCATACACTAAATTTTATGTAAAGCTAAAATATTTGCAGTAGGAGCTGCGGATTTTGATGAGTAACACTTGTGGAGCCAACACAAATGCATTGACATTCCTCAAGGAATATAGAGATTGTTATTCTCTTGAGTTGGATCAGGTGTATTGGAAACACTGTCAAAGCATTAAGTCAAAGATAGTGCAGTGACCAGAGCAACAAGTCAGTGTGTTCGCCACCGTGTAGAGCTGGAAGTGCTATATTAACATGTAAACATTCAGGATTTTAGCCTTCAAAATGATTATCAGAGACTGAATTCATGTGCTGCATTTTTTTCTACACTTTCTACTTAGAATTAATTTTCTTCAAATAATTCGGATTTTGATTCATTTTTTTTTCTGTGGATGTTTTTCTCCTGCAGGTGACACACACCGTCTCTCAGAGCTGAGGATTGTGCTGCTGGGTTACAGAAATGCTGGGAAGAGCTCAGCAGGAAACACCATCCTGAACAGAGAGGAGTTTGAGTTAAAGAGAGCTGCTCAGTGTGTGAAGAGACAGAGAGAAGTAGCAGGGAGACACATCACTGTGGTTGAAGCTCCAGGATGGTGGAGTGATAAACCTGTAGAGGAGAGCACTGAGTTACTGAAACAGGAGATTGTGCTCAGTGTGACTCTGTGTCCTCCAGGACCTCACTGTCTGCTGCTGATCATACGACTGGACAGTGTTTTTAAAGAGAATTATAGAAACATAATAGAGGGATATATGAGAATTTTTACTGATTCAGTGTGGAGTCACACTATAGTGCTGTTCACCTGTGGAGACTGTCTGGGAGACACACCCATAGAGCAGCACATCGAGAGTGAAGGGAAGGAGCTCCAGTGGCTGGTTGAGAAATGTGGGAACAGGTATCATGTTCTCAACAATAAGAACAGGAGTGATGACATTCAGGTCACAGAGCTGCTGGAGAAGATAGAGGAGACGGTGGCAGCAAACAGTGGATGCCATTTTGAAATGGACAGAAAGATTCTACAGGAGGTGAAAGAGAAGAGGAGAGCAGAGGAAGAGAGAGCTAAAGAGAGGATGATGAGAAAAGGGAACCTTAGATCACACATTTGTGAGTTTAATTTCCATCACTATCAGAATAGGACTGTGGAAAGATGTTTTGTGTGGATTCCTTGATTTTTCTCAGGAGGCCAGTTTCAGTCATCCTTATCAGCAGTTTGATCTCACAGTTTCAGTTTCATTTCCCAAATGCTTTAGCTGACCATGCTAACATAAACAGGGTAATAAGGTAATAAGAGGGGACGGGGGAGATTGTGTCTGCAGCATCTGGGCTTTTAAACGCTGTTAGAAAAAAAAAACTCAAAGTCAAAGCAGCGTTTTCAGTGTAGAAAAATGTAACGTCATTATGTTAGTTATAATGAACTATTCTGCCTGTCACTGCATATGAAACAATAGACACAGATGATTAAAACAGAAGTTAAGATGCTCTGGGTTTATCTTAAAGTTCAGAAAATATTTAGAATATTTTGGCAAATTAGGATGTTTCTGCAATACCGTTTTCTTATCTGGAAATAAGATTATAGACTTAATAACTGTTGTTCTGTAATGGCTTCTGTCCTAATTTCAGTTGTAACTGAAGTTGCCATGACAACAAAGCAGATAAGATATGATCTCAGACTGAAGAATTTTTTGTAATATGGCCCCAGAATTCCTTTATAATTTCTATAACAAATTAATGACCTAGTTTCTTTTAATTATTTTATTGATTATTTCATTTTTGTTTGAAATGAGGAACTCATGTTTACTTATTTGCGCAAATCTTCAAAGTCATTATTTGTGGTTTTTGTTTTGTCCCTTGTCTCAAAGGTTGTCTGAAGGTTCCTCATCACAGACAGCATGTAGACAAATTGTAGTGGAAAATGAAGTTAATTGCCCTTCTTAAGGACAGCATTCATTTACTGTAAAGCTAAATCATATCTGCACATGAGTTTAACATTTACAGAATGATGATGCATAAATTTACACACAGTTAGAGCAAATAAACTGGAAGAGCAGACAGTTTGGTTTTATAGAACAAAAAAAGAAAGTGTTTAAAAAGGGCATCTTGCCCAACTATCTGTGCAAGAAGCCCCCCTACCTGGAGTAGAATATGGGAATACAGTGATACAGGATTGTGGGCTAATGCCTATATCCAGTATTTTTTCTGTACATATCTGCCTATACAGATACATAAACATGTATAAAATGTAGAAATTAGGATTAAATCTACCTGGATGAGAATTATAGAGAAACACAACATTTATTTTTGCAGAGTTGCAAATACAGTGAAATAAATATAATGTATGTATTTTAGCACAGTAACCCAGCGTCACCTAAACATTCTGCTCTACTGGAGAACAATAAACAGATCATCAACCAGTTTAAAATATCCATCATATTTAATGATCCGTCTGATGCCAATAATTTTTTAAAGCAAATATCTGTGAATACCAATATGATTTCAATATTATCTCACATCCCTAGTATGAAGCCCTCCTGGAGAATCTAGCATCAGTTTGTCAACCAAGTTTATAAAATTTATAATTTATATGTCAAATAATTTCTAGTCTTTGCATTAAAAATGGTTATTAAGCCCTAGAAACATTAAACTTGTTTAAAAAAAATATATAAACATAAGTTAAATTAAAATTGAGGCTTCAGTCAAATTTGTGTTAGTAATTCCACTTCATTTTAATATCTCATGATAAAAGACAAATGATAAAACAGAAACACTTGAAATGTGTGAATAGGTATTAATTGCATGATAATGTTTGGTAAATTTATTAATGGTATTATTATTATCATTATTATTATTATCATTATTATTATTATTATTATTGTTGTTGTTGTAGTGTAGGTGCAGAATAAGACATCGTGCATATAGGTAAATGCTCTTATTTTGAGCAGGCACTTCAACAGGCAGTGGGACATGCGCAGCCCAGCACTACTCCAACTCGAAACACAATGAGGGGGGAATCTAGGAAGATACAACATACAAGGAGAGTACACAAACTCACACCCAAAGCTCATCCTCCTCAAGCACAAGTTACATTACACAGCCACTACTCCACTAACAAGATCCACAAAAACAACATCAGCAACAAGAACAATAACCGGCCTTTTTAAATGGGAGAGTGGCACATCCCGAGATCCACTTTGCATGATCACATCCCCGAAGCTCGCCATAGCAGCGTGGCCCCTTAGCTGACACCACATTATTGAAGTGGAAGCAATAATAATAAGAATTATACCCAGCAATAGAAATGAACATTTGATCAGTGAGTGTAAATGATTATTGTTTATGGCAGAACAGATGAGGTGTGGGTGAAACTCTGCCTCACTGTGAAACTCACCTACAAACTCATCTCCAGTGAGATGGATGAAAATGTTGCCTTATTCCAGCTTATGATCACTACATCTAACATGAACAACACAGACTTTCTTCACACTGCAGGCAAATTGGATGTTTCTTATATCTGACTTTTTAGAATGATTGTTTAGATTTCAAGTTAGAAGTGACCAGATCTGATTTGTGTGGCCCAGCTATAGAAGCATTTGCTTGCATATGCATATTAGTTGCTGTTGTAATGTTTCACACATGCATACTCTGACTAGGTAGGGGCGAAACTTGGTAAATCTAACAATTAACACTAGCTAATAGAATGATCACACTGTATTTCACAACAGCGTTTCACTTTTTATTAACTACAGCATGAACGAAACATGACAGTGCAGACCTACCTGGTCAACAGACCGCTAACAAGCTATAGGCTGTATAGTGACATTCAGAGACAAGTTTAAAGTTCAGATCTTTTAAGGGAGAAGACACTGTAAACTATAAAGTATGTTACATAAATGTTTGTTATAAGCTTCTACTCAGGCTCCAGAATGGTGCAATCAAAAGCATTGGCCCTATCATCAGAAGATCGCAAATTCGATCCCTGGTGATGCTACAGCCATCCATGGCCGGGAGTCCAAGAGAGCACAATTGGCCTCGCTCTCTCCGGGTGGGTAGGATGGCGCCCCCTTCCCTCCTACCACTAAGCATGATGCTAGCCAGCGCAGGCGTCTGTCAGCTGATGTAACAGAACTGGCGGTTAGCGTTTTTCTCCATGTGCATTCAACTGTCCAATGATGTTGCATTATCAGCAGTTTCAAAAGATGCAGTGTCTGGCTTCACATGACTCGGAGGAAGCTTGTGTTTGCCTTCAACCTCCTAGCACTGGTGGTGTCGTGTGATTGGGGCAGGGTTCTAATTAGTGGGTGGGTTAAGACTAAATTAGGGAGAAAATGGACAAAAATCACAAAAATCACTTGTCACACATTCTGAAGTCATGAACCGCCGCACCCATAAAGTGTGATCTGACTCGTCAAACTGAGTTACATATCCAGAAATCTAATCTGAATCTGATTAAAACCACTCAAATCCTACTCAAATCACATATGCTGCAAACTCAGATTTGAACTGCCTCTCTGAACAAGGCCTTCATGTCTGTATGTTGAAAAATTAACTAATTAATATTTTTAAGCCAATATGCCAAAGGGAGCCTTTTGCTCCATGTCTAGGAGGAACTTCCTGTGCCCCTAAAGTCTAAGTTTACATTTCCCTTGTAAAGATTTTTTTTCCTCTTAAAATCCAATGTAAATGTATTGGTGTCTCCACAAACCTACTTTATATTTTCTAATATCAACTTAATATAAATTCACAAATCGCTATTATCCAATGAAAAAAGGAGGAAGAAATCCCAGGACCGCCATCATCCAAATTAAGTTTCAGAATTAATTAGACCATAGCCATTGAGCAAATGTCTTAAAATTAGATTTGATCCGATCATTTGAATAGAAGTGAAAAAAGGTCGAGAGGACTTCTTACCCTGGGAGCTCCTCCCCGCTAAGTTACCTGGTATTGCTATATGAAATGTAGACTTTTTAGATGCTTTGAAATGTTTTGGATTTTGGACTGGATCACTTTTCATCACTGTCAGAGCATTAAGTCAAACAGAGAAACAAATCTGTATGTTCACCACTGTGTAGTGTCACTAGTGCTATAGCAAATTTATATTGTGTGACCCGCTACTGGCTGGCGCTGGGTCTGAGAAACTCTGCTCATGGTAGGCATGCACCCTCCAACATAGGGACTATTGTTGCTGTTTGTTAGTTATATGTATGTGTATGTGTTATTGGGTTTTGTGTGAGGGACGAGTCGCCATGGCGTTAAAGTATGTGGCTAGTGGTGACCCACCTCCAGGTTTCTGTATTCTGCATGTGCCTTTCTGCTGGTGTGTTTAATAAAGAGCACTTCTTGCAGCAGAATCATGGCTCCTTCTTCTGCCGACGCTACAATGTTAACATGTACATGTTCAGTATTTTAGCTTTCAATTTGATTAGCATTAATTCATGTGTTGCATTTTTTCCGAAACTGCATTTTCTACTTGATAATAAAACAAATACACAATTTTATTTTCTCCAAACAGTGCTGAATATGATTTACAGATGTCTTTTTGTTCTGTGAATGTATTTCTCCTCCAGGTGACGCCCACCGCCTCTCAGAGCTGAGGATTGTGTTGCTGGGGAACAGAAATGCTGGGAAGAGTTCAGCAGGAAACACCATCCTGAACAGAGAGGAGTTTGAGTTAAAGAGAACTGCTCAGTGTGTGAAGAGACAGAGAGAAGTAGCAGGGAGACACATCACTGTGGTTGAAGCTCCAGGATGGTGGAAGAATGAACCTGTAGAGGAGAGCACTGAGTTACGGAAACAGGAGATTGTGCTCAGTGTGTCTCTGTGTCCTCCAGGACCTCACTGTCTGCTGCTGATCATACGTCTGGACAGTGATTTTAAAGAGAAGTATAGAAACACATTAGAAGGATATCTGAAACTTCTCACTGATACAGTGTGGAATCACACTATAGTGCTGTTCACTCGTGGAGACTGTCTGGGAGACACACCCATAGAGCAGCACATTGAGAGTGAAGGGAAGGAGCTCCAGTGGCTGGTTGAGAAATGTGGGAACAGGTATCATGTTCTCAACAATGAGAACAGGAGTGATGACACTCAGGTCACAGAGCTGCTGGAGAAGATAGAGGAGATGGTGGCAGCAAACAGTGGACGCCATTTTGAAATGGACAGAAAGATTCTCCAGGAGGTGGAAGAGAAGAGGAGAGCAGAGGAAGAGAGAGTGAAACAGAGGATGATGAAGGTGCAGAAACAGAGAGAAGACTTTAAATTATACATGTGTAAGTCATTTAATGAATATATGCATCATTTTAGTTCCGGTCACTCTCAGAATAGGATTGTTCACAATAACTAGCTAATAGAACGTTCACACTGTATTTCACAACAGCATTTCATTTTTTATTAACTACAGCATGAACAGAATATGACATTATTGCAGATTGACCTGGTCAACAGACTGTTAACAAGCTGTAGACTAGACAGTGATATCAAAAACAGGCTCTAAGATCAGATATTTTAATAAAGCAGAAAAACTACAACATACAAAGTAAAATATGTTATCTATATGTCTGTTTAAAGCTTCTACTCACCATGTTTAAGCTGTAATGTGTAAATATGCACCAACAACTTTCTTGTTGCACCTTCTGAAGTCATGAACTGCTGTGCCCTGAATGACGACAAACACATGAAGGCTGATCTGACCGGTCAAACTGAGTCACATGTCCAGAAATTTGATTTAAGTCAGATTTGAAACCACTTACAAATGTGGCTTGAATCAGATTGGAAAAAGTCAGATTGGATGTAACCTTTTGCTGTTCAGACTGCAGAAAATCTGTCCTGCCCAAATATGCTGAAAAATCAGAGTTTAGCTGCTTGTCTGAACAAGCATGTATCATTGTGTTGAAAATCTAACTAAATTATTATTTAATCAAAAAATATTTTTAGGATAATGAATGATAAGTGGTAAAAAAATGTAAATGTCCTGCTTTCTCTACAACCCCTATTATCATATATTTTTGATATATTTTTTCATACAACTTTACGGGTCGCTGTAATCCAACAACAAAAGGTTTCCAGGGGAATAAATCCCAGGAGCACTATCGTCCAAATGCAAGTTCATAAATAATTAGATCATAGCTGTTCAGCAAATGTGTAAAAATAATATTTGACAAAATAATTTTAATAGGAGTAAAACAAAATGTGGAGGGGACTTCTTACCCTGTGAGCTCCTCTCCCCAGTTTACCCAGTATTGCTGTATGATATGTGTATTTTTTTCCAGACTTTTCTTATCATGAACATCTTGCATGAGTAGCAAAAAATCCCTGTAATGGACTGGATCATTTTCATTACTGTCAGAGCTTTAGGTCAAAGAGAGTGCCGTGACTAGAACAAGAAGTAACAAATCCGTATTCTCACCACTTAATAATACTGTTTAGTAATTTTTCTTAATAATAAAATAAATACATAATTTTATTTTCTCCAATTAGTGCTTTTTGATTAAAAACAGTTTTTTTCTGTGGATGTTTTTCTCCTGTAGGTGACTCACACCGTCTCTCAGAGCTGAGGATTGTGCTGCTGGGGTGCAAATATTCTGGGAAGAGCTCAGCAGGAAACACCATCCTGAACAGAGAGGAGTTTGAGTTAAAGAGAGCTGCTCAGTGTGTGAAGAGACAGAGAGAAGTAGCAGGGAGACACATCACTGTGGTTGAAGCTCCAGGATGGTGGAGTAATAAACCTGTAGAGGAGAGCACTGAGTTACTGAAACAGGAGATTGTGCTCAGTGTGTCTCTGTGTCCTCCAGGACCTCACTGTCTGCTGCTGATCATACGTGTGGACAATGTTTTTAAACAGAATTATAGAAAAATATTAGAAGGATATCTGAAACTTCTATGTCTTACAGTGTGGAGTCAAACTATAGTGCTGTTCACCTGTGGAGACTGTCTGGGAGACACACCCATAGAGCAGCACATTGAGAGTGAAGGGAAGGAGCTCCAGTGGCTGGTTGAGAAATGTGGGAACAGGTATCATGTTCTCAACAATGAGAACAGGAGTGATGACACTCAGGTCACAGAGCTGCTGGAGAAGATAGAGGAGATGGTGGCAGCAAACAGTGGACGCCATTTTGAAATGAACAGAAAGATTCTACAGGAGGTGGAAGAGAAGAGGAGAGCAGAGGAAGAGAGAGCTAAAACGAGGATGATGAAGGTGCAGAAACAGAGAGAAGACTTTAAATCACACATGTGTAAGTCATTTAATGAATATTTTAGTTTATTTCTTTTATAAAATATGAATGTCACCATCAGTTTTGTCTGTATTGTTTGAGCAGAGGATAATGAATGAATGCAGCTTCAGTCATCCTGATCAGAAGTCTGCAAGTATTGTACAAGTGTGCTATATATCCTGAATCAAAATAAGGCGTATTTACTCTTTCCTGAATTAAAATGTTTTATAATTGATTACTGACCTGTCCAGGGAGTTTCCAGCCTTCTGCCCAATGACCGCTGGGATAGGCTCCAGCACCCCCCTGCGACCCAGTGGAATAAGCAGCTTAGAAAATGTGTGTGTGTGTAATTGATTACTTTAAATTAATCACATTTGTTATAATATTCCCATCCAAATTCTTTTTTTTTCCAGAGTTAAATAATATGGTGGTATCATATCACAGGCACCAAGTGATCCAACTGTATACATTCAGGTCCATAAATATTTCAATGTTAACAAACCCATTTTAGCTGTCTACCACAGCATATTGGAGTTTAAATTAAATTATGAATATGAGCTCAAATTGCAGACTTTCAGCTTTCATTTGAGAGTATTTATATACAAATTGGGTGAATGTCATAAGAATTACAACAATTTTTATTCATAGCGCACCATTATGGGGATGTGAAGTAGGAGGGGTAGGCAGGTTGGAAGTATCCATTTGCAGGTTTATTACAGGGTACAATTCACAGAAAAAACACAATCCAAAAGGCACAGTCCGAAAAGAGGCAGAGGTGGAGGTCAGAAACAAGTTCATTAAGAACATTACATGCAAAAGTATCAAAAACACAGTCCAGAACCGCAAAACCCAAGCAAGTTTATAGAACATACAAAAATCTAGGAAAAGCGTATGAAAAACATGATCCAGAAAAAAACAGTGGTGCTACTGACAGGGGTGTTTAAAAGTAACTGGACAGTTCGCTGCTCAGCTGTTCCATGGCCTGGTGTGTTATTCCCTCATTATTTCACTTACAGTGAAGCAGATAATAGATCTAGAGTTGAGTTCAAGTGCAGAATTTGCATTTGGAATCTGTTGATATTAATTCTCAATATGAAGTACAGAGTTTTGTCACTACTAGCAAAGTAAGCAATCATGTGTCTGAAAAATGAAAATAAACCCATCAAAGAAATAGCAAAAACATAAGGTGTGGCCAAAGCAACTATTTGAGGGTAACATTAAGAAAAAACACACTCTGTTGAGCTCAAACACCAAAAAGTCTGGAAGAAAATGGAAAACAAGTGTAGTGAATGATAGTGTAGTGGGACAATGGCACTTAAACTACCTATTTTTTCACTCACCATAAATACACAGATACTTACACTAATCTCAGGTTAGGGTTTGGGCATGTAATCAATCGAATGAAATTATTCACATTTACAGCATTTAGTAGATGCTCTTGTCCAGAGCGACTTACAAAAAGTGTTTTGTTGTCCACTCAGAGAAAGTGTCTTTGCTAGTTACAAATAGGTTAAAGAGAAAGCTCGCCCTGAGCTCAGATATTGCTAGAAACAAAAGCCCATGTTGATACCTAGAGAAAAAGGAACAGAATTAAACCCAGCACAGTACATTTCAATAAGTGCAGTACAATACATTACAGTAAATACTTAGTGCTCACTTTAGTCTATGTTTTAAGACTGCGAGAGAGACAGCAGGAGTTTGTTCCACCACCTGAGTGCCAGGACAAAGAAAAGTCTTGATGCTTGTCTTCCACACGTCTTGAAGCCTGGTGGATCAAGCCGAGCTGTATTTGCAGCTCGAAGGGCTCGAGCTACAGTTCAAGTTTTGTCCATTGCCATTAGGTCGGTAGGGGCTGGTCCGTTTTTGTTTTTGTAGTCATGAGGGTTTTAAATCTGATGCGTGCAGCTACAGGAAGCCAGTGAAGGGAGCACAGCAGTGGAGTGACATGACTGAACTTAGGAAAATTTAAGATGAGCTGTGCTGCTGCATTCTGGATGAGTTGCAGAGGCTTGACGGCCGCATAGGAAGACCAGCCATGAGCGAGTTTCAGTAGTCAAGCCTTGAGATGACAAGAGACTGAACTAGCATCTTCAGATCTCAGTTAGAAGACACAAGCACACTGATTCTTCAAGGGATTACCTCCTCAATATATTAGCCCCTACAATTCACACCTTTGGCTAACCTGAAACCACACCTGAAACTAGTAATTACAATCAAGCACCAGGTTCCACAAGACAGCCTTGTGACTAACAGAGTCTTAGCTAAAGAAAGTCTCAAATCAGAGTCTACCTTTAGCAGCAGAATGATAAATCTCAGAAGACACAAGCACACATTATCATATGGTGCTTGAGCATCAAGCAGAACAGAATAATTAAGTAATTCTTATTTTATTCACCCTTATGTAATAATACATGTTGCAGAGATTTAATTTTAAAATTTAAATATCCATCCCTGTAATATTCAGAATTATCAGTTGACACACAATTAGGTAATGCCCATTTTAGTTACATTTGGTAACAAAAAATAAAACAAATTGTTAAATTGTGCTGTCTGTGAATACTGATTACAATCTTACATGTATTTTCTGTGCTTCTCCTGTAGCTGACTCACACCATCTCTCAGAGCTGAGGATTGTGCTGCTGGGGTACAGATATGCTGGGAAGAGTTCAGCAGGAAACACCATCCTGAACAGAGAGGAGTTTGAGTTAAAGAGAGCTGCTCAGTGTGTGAAGAGACAGAGAGAAGTAGCAGGGAGACACATCACTGTGGTTGAAGCTCTAGGATGGTGGAAGAATATACCTGTAGACCTCATGTCTGAGTTATTTAAACAGGAGATTGTGCTCAGTGTGTCTCAGGGCCCTTCAGGACCTCATGCTCTACTACTGGTCATACGTGTGGACAGTGTTTTTAAAGAGAAATGCAAAAAAGTACTTGATGGATTCCTGAGTCTTCTCAGTGATGAAGTGTGGAATCACACTATAGTGCTATTCACCTTTGGAGACTGTCTGGGAGACACACCCATAGAGCAGCACATTGAGAGTGAAGGGAAGGAGCTCCAGTGGCTGGTTGAGAAATGTGGGAACAGGTATCATGTTCTCAACAATGAGAACAGGAGTGATGACACTCAGGTCACAGAGCTGCTGGAGAAGATAGAGGAGATGGTGGCAGCAAACAGTGGACGCCATTTTGAAATGGACAGAAAGATTCTACAGGAGGTGGAAGAGAAGAGGAGAGCAGAGGAAGAGAGAGCAAAAGAGAGGATGACGAAAATGCAGAAACAGAGGATGAGTAACCAGTTACAGATAAGTAAGACATTTATTATAATACAAAAATATTTTGTGGGCCTTCATTATGAGGAGTATGTAATTTGGTGTTTTAAAGGTAAAGAATGCTGCTACTTTTGATGCAAAAAGTAGAAATTGCGCTAATAAATTGCATTGAATTCATTTTTGTTCAAAGGTAACAATAGACGTTACTCAGAGCTGAGGATTGTTCTGCTTGGATATAAAGGAGCTGGCAAGAGTTCAGCAGGAAACACCATCCTGAACAGAGAGGAGTTTGAGTTAAAGAGAGCTGCTCAGTGTGTGAAGAGACAGAGAGAAGTAGCAGGGAGACACATCACTGTGGTTGAAGCTCCAGGATGGCAGTTTGATGAATCTCAGAGGAGCTCAGAGATACTTAGACATATAATGTTCAGTTTACGTTTCTGTAATCCAGGACCACATGCTCTACTACTGATCATACGTCTGGAGGTTGGCTTTAAAGAAAAGCACTTAAACGCATTAGAAGGATACTTAAAACACCTCTGCGAAACAGTCTGGAGACACACTATAGTGCTGTTCACCTTTGGAGACTGTCTAGGAGACACACCCATAGAGCAGCACATTGAGAGTGAAGGGAAGGACCTCCAGTGGCTGGTTGAGAAATGTGGGAACAGGTATCATGTTCTCAACAATGAGAACAGGAGTGATGACACTCAGGTCACAGAGCTGCTGGAGAAGATAGAGGAGATGGTGGCTGCAAACTGTGAACAAAATACACAGAAGGAGGAAGAGAAACAGAGAACAGAAGAGGAAATGCTAATGGGGAGGAAAAACTCCCTCAGATCAGATGCAGGTGAGTCTATTTGGCTCATTTATTTCTCCAAAATATTCTGCCTCTAGTCAGATATTTTTACTTATTAAGATCTTCGTCTGAGCTGCATGTGTTATACCTGCAGAAAGTTCAGTTTGAATGCACATTTTATGATGCTCCAGTTTCCTGTCCCTGTTCTGTGCTTGTTGTTGCTTGTTTGCAAAAAGGGCACCTGTTCATGAAGAGCTGAAACTCAGCCCAGTTGAAACCTCTTCGGGGCTGGCAAGAGTTTACACGTTGTTGTGTGACTGAAAATGATGAACAGTGACTTAAAACTAGTCGGCAAGATATTCCTGTGTTATTAAATGTTATATTACATTTATGTGCTCTGCTAATATTCTCCTTATAATTTGACATTACCCTAATTTGTGGAAGGATATGAATGTCATAAATATATCTTTAAAAGTATTACAGAGTGATTATGCTTAACCACAAAGCTTGAATCATTGAGCTTAAAACACATTTGATATAATCAATATATTTAAGGTATTTAGTCACACATTCAGAATTTCCATTTAAAACCACTATTTTGTTTTCTTTTGGTTTGGTTTCTGTAAGCCACTGCTAATAAATTCTAATCTAATGTGAAATGGTAAAATCTTGCAATATTTTCTGGACAGAAATGTTTTATCCCATGTACCTTTCTCTTCCTCATCTTTTGGTTATATCTGTTGGTGTCAGAACCCCATAGGATTCCGTCATCTAGAGCAACCAAGAGAATATCCACAGGAGGCAGCAGCTTCAGTACAAGTGTGAGAAGGTAAATTGACCTCTGAGGATTCAACAAGTGCATATGTGTTTGGACAATGACACATTTTTTGTTGTTTTGACATGATTTGTAATGAAATAATTGTGTACATCTGTATTGAGCGAATCATATGGAAATCACAAGTATTGTAAGAACATTCCACCAGTTTCAGGTGAAATGAACAAGATCTTAATATATAGCCATATGCATGTTCTAAGTATTGTTCAAAAATACCTCCTCTGTGAAATTATGCAGCAGAATCATTGCAAAATGTGAAACCTCTTGACAAATGGAGATTTGATTCAGTTTAGATTTGGAGATTTGATACAGTTTGCAGTGCTGTCATGACATACATTTTCACCAATACATTTCTTGTTCAGTTTATGTAATGCCAGCTGACTGCTACATGGACAAAAATAGCTATTTTTTATGCATTGGTCAGACTCTCTGCACTAATACGATGTTCTAAAATTCTGTTTCATTTCTACAAGTCCACATCAAAATGACCTTCTTTTGACCAGTGACCTCTGCAGACCATTTCAGCATCATTCAGTAGATAAGTGTAAATAAGTTTGGTGACTGCAAAGGTGGACTTGCACAATTCTAAATGTAGAACAATGTTATATTCAGTGTATTATTTTAAATAATTTTGCATTTTTTGGGAAAACATTTAAGAGTATTTGAAGGTTTTACTTAAAACAAATATTGAAAAAAACACTTTAAAAGCATGCTGTATTTAAGCTACAAATTTATTATGAGCTGTTAATAGATTAATGTTTTTTAGGTTCCAGTTAGAGAGCAAGGCCTTACCTGCCGAGAGCTATCTGTCCATGATCACTGACCGGTGGGTAAAAAAAAAAATACCATAAATGACCCTGGAACATCTTCATTCATATGGTGTTAAATGAAAGGGAATAGTTCTTTCTGTGGACTGTAATGTCTAATTGTCATATCATCAGTACAGCCACTAAAGAACACAGAATCTGTGGCATGAACTAATTCTAAATAGTTGTGCCTCATCATATAAGGAAGGCTCTTGTGGTACTGTGGTGTGCACCCATCCCCCGGGCTCTGATGGCAGCTGCGAAAGCCTGCCAGAAGGCGAGGCCCGAACATCGAGCGGTGACGAACCCTGGCGAGGATGGCGGGGAGAGAGCCACGAGTGGGTGGAGGATGGAGCGAGGAGGCGGAGCTTGTCTCAGGTGCTCACGCTGCCCTTAATGAGAGCCAGCTGATACGTGAGCATAAAGAGCTGAGAGGGAACAGAGAGAGAGAGAGAGAGGGAACGAGAGCTTGCTGCTCCGCCTCCTTGTCGCCGCCCCCAGCTCGCAGCTCGTCCGCCCGGGTTGAACACGAGGTGTAGTGAAGCGGCCTCGCTGTGGAACATGCCCCACCCCTTGCCCTCATGCCTCTCATGGCCGGCACCATCGTCCTCCTCCTCCCGCAGTCACTCGTGTTTCTCGGCGGAGCTCAAGCTTTGCGTGCTGTCCCCTACCCACTTGCGGCTCACCCCCTGCTGTCTTGTTGGGGTTCATCACCGCTCGATATTCAGGCCCCGCTCTCGCAGCTGCCATCGGGGCCCGGGGGGCGGGCGCACGCCACAGGTACTCTTTCAGAAGAACAGCAAAAACAGTCAGGAAAATACTTCAAAGCCAAAAGATGCTGCTTTTTTAGTATAGAATGTTCAGGTTTTGTTGTTAATGATAACATAGCAGCATCAGAGCATGGAGAGCTTTCTTTATTAACACAAGGGCCTAATCCACTTTCACCCCTTGCCCCTGCCACTTAGCCCTTAGTCCTCTGTTTTGCACATTCACATCTAGGGTGAGGTTGTCCTGATTCTTATTGAGATAGAGGGGTAGGATGAAGTGTTAGGTCTACATGGCCGTCCAAACGGAGGTTTGTCAGAGGCTCACTCCAAACAGTGTGTTACAAAAAAAAAGAAAAACCGGCAAGATGGCTGTGTGAGCGACCAAAGAAACCCACAAATGTAAGTATTTTCTCCATTAAAAAAATGACAGTAAACACTGTATTATCTTAGTTTAATGTCGTTTCAATGTATTATGGCCATTTTCTTCGCTAATAGCATGCTAATTCCTCAGTGGCTAACTAGCTAACTTTCACCTTAAATAGTCCAGCAGTATTGACACCTGAAGCGCCAGAATGTAACTGCTGCACCATTTAAGGTGGAACGGGAAAATTCGAACAAGAAGCTGGCGAATATCTGACTTCAGCTTCGTATCACCAAAGAATTAGCTGTGGGCGATAACAAATAATTGTCTTATAACCCTCTTTGAAAGCACATGATGCCCTAAATGTAACTAAAGCCCTGCGGCGAGGAGCTAAACTTTACTGTCTGTTATCACTGCAGAATCGCAGGGTCGCCTACAGAGCAGCGCTCGTAGCTGTTAATGAAGCACTGTTTGTTTTTCTTTTTTTTTATTTAAGGGGTTATCCCATTTTGTAGGGCAAGATTTGAACCATTCAGTTCCAAGGGGTTAGGGTGACACTCGAAAACAAGGGGTAGGGGTAAAGGAGAAATGGGATTGGGCCTAGGTTCCCTATGATTTAGAGTCTTTAAATAGATTAAACAAATTAAAGTTATAAAATAACTTCTTAATGTTTTATCTTTTAGTATTAGATTTATCCAATTCTAAGATGATGTCTAATATCCTAAAAAGAAAGAATCATTGTATATATTAAACTAATGTATATAGTCCAACCAAAAATATGCAGCTGACAGTGGTCTTGTGGTGAGAAAATGACCACCGATGAGGACAAAAAACACATTTTCAAAAACACTGAAAAGACCTTACAAAGAAAAGAGACTACTATAGACTATAGACTACAGATTAGTATGAAATTTACTCAAAAATCATTTTGCTTAGTAATTTATGTGTGCACTTTACAGGTTCTGGTACATGACAATAAAAAAGGAATTTATATTTCAGATTTAGTATAAACGGAGCTCCATCACCTGCTCCCAGTTACCTGTCCATAAGGACTGACTGGTCAATGGAGGAACCTTTACAGTTCAGTAGATCATTCATACGTGACAATCAGAGGTACTTTTACAAAGCTTTTTCTTTATTTTATGTTAACTATGGTTCTTTAATTTTTCACACAGGCTAATCAATGTGCTGTAGTTTCTCAATTTCAAATTTGTGATGTCATGAGGAAATGGTGAAGATCACATAAAAAGTACAAACACATGACACACTTCATGTTGGCTTTAAAGAGAACTATGTGATGTTTTAGGTTTGGACTGGAGAGCAGACCTTCATCAGTGCTCAGCTACCTGTCCATGGAGACTGAATGCTCAGCAGAACACAACTTCAGCTTGAGTGAAACGCCATTATCTGAATACCAAGGGTAACATATGCCATCTGTGGGAAGATACAATGGGCCTAAATACTAGACTTTAGAAGAACTTTAGAAGATTAAGTTGAATGGTAAATTGGTAAAATGGTAACTGTTTGCAGACTGAAATATGATAAGCTAAATAAGAAAAATGGTTACATTTTAGATTTGGATTGTTGGAGAGGTCGTCACCTGTTCCCAGTGAAGTATCCATGAAGACTGACTGGTCAATGGCGAAACCCTTAAAATTCAATAAATCACCCCCACACGATCATCAGAGGTGCTCTTACTATCAGTGAAATTATTTAGGAATAAATATAGCAGATTTATCATGTAAGTTACTGTTGTGGGAGTTGAATTGTGAAAATAGTCTGACAAAGATGGATGCTGACCACCATCTTTACAGTGGCCAAACTGTTCATTAGGTACAAGTTATTCATTTTTCAACATGAGCAAAAACAGAAAACCTAGTATTAATATTGAGTGTGTCCATTCTTTACCCATATTACAGGTTCCATTCTTTTTGGGAAACTTATTTTCAGTTTTTCAAAGAAATCTGTAGGGATATTTTTACACACCTCCAAAGTTCAGTCTTAGAAGTTGGTTGTATTTTCTGCTTCTCACGATCCAAGTAATCCCAAACACATTCACTGATGCTGAGGTCTGGACTTGGTGGACAGTCCATTGCTCTGAGAACACCAGCAGCTTCTTTGTTTGATTTGAAAATGTTCTTCTTTGCTGAGTCGTCTTCTCACAGTGGAAGGATGGACAGAAACACCTGTGGATTTTTTCAGATCTGAATCAAGAGTGGAGCTTGATTTCCTCCTCTCTTTTTAAAGATGAAAGCTTTCATTTAAATGTTTAGCTTTTTAGCTTGTTAATTAGTTAATGAGTTGAATCAGGTGCGCTCAATGAGACAAAGCACAAAAATGTCCCTAGTGCTGGGTTGCCAGGACTGGGATTGTAACCTCTGGTTTAAAGGGCCAATATGCTAAAAGTTCACATTTTAATTTAATAGATCAGCAGTATTCAATTCAGCACACCTAAACAGAACTTAATGACACAAATTCATGTTTCAGGTTTCTGCTCAGCACGTCTCCTGCTCCCAGCAGCCTGTCCATGAAGTCTGAAGCATCAATGGATGAAGCTGTAAAATTCACTGACTTGACTTCAAAAGATCATCAAAGGTACTGTTACAAACTACACTGTTCGTTTTATAATAGTATTAAACAAAAATGTAACAGTAAAGTCATTTTTCACATTTGCTGTTGTGTTTGAACTTGAAAAATACAGAATACTCAAAAGTCTTTTTTTTTGGTTAGGGGGGGGATTTGGCAGTGTTTACATTGATGAATCTCCTTAACCCCAAATAGCATACTTCTAGAGATAATTGCTTTTTACATATTTGACTTATATAGTTTATATATTTATATATTCTTCTGCGCAGATGTCTTGCTTCTTTTCTAGATTTAGTGTCAGCCTTAAACTTTGATAAAAAATATGAGGGATTCCCACACAGCTATAATATAAATATCACACTGAAAACTTAAAGGTTGTGTAAGGAATGATCTTTCTTCTATCTTTTTTTCTTATTGTTCAGATTGTCCAGATACAGTGACTTACAGAACTGATTTCACAGTCAGGACCTGCATAATATGAATTTCTGTTCATCATAGCACTTTTAAGCAGCACATTTTCTAAATCAGTGACTTTTTCATCAGTTTAGTCAGTAGTGGAATCATATAGTGTTGTCAAAAACATGTAACATTGTAGCACCTTTTATGTCATTTCTAACTTACAGTATCTCCCAGAAGTGAGTACACCCCTCACATTTCTGCAAATATTTGATATCTTTTCATGGGACAACACTATAGAAATGACACTTGGATATAACTTAAAGTAATCAGTGTACAGCTTGTATAGCATTATAAATTTACTGTCCTCTGAAAATAACTCAACACACAGACATTAATGTCTAAATAGCTGGCAACACAAGTGAGTACACCTCACAGTGAACATGTCCAAATTGTGCCCAATTGTGTCGTAGTCCCTCCCTGGTGTCATGTGACTCGTTAGAGTTACAAGGTGTGAATGGGGAGCAGGGCTGTTAAAGATATAATAAAATATTTGCAGAAATGTGAAGGGGTGTATTGACTTTTGTGAGATACTGTACACACACAAAAGTAGTTTTGGGACACTTCTATTGTCATTAGGCTTATCAATCACTAGTTTGAATCAAAGAAACACAAGCTAAATATTGTCTTAACCCCAACCTCTAATTTTTATGACCATTGAGCTGAATTCAATATGTCAAAACAATGATTCTTGGTAATAAAATGTACATGAGAAAGTGTTCAAATGCACTAAAAAAAATCCAATGTCAAGAGTGAAAAATTGTAGTGAAGTGCTAGAATGAGACAAGAAGTGTTTAAAACCTGCAGTGCTCTAAACATTTAAAAGAGAAAATCCTTCAAACTCCTGCACTCCATGCCTTAAAGACTTAAAGACACACAACAAAATACTGACCTTAATAAAATACTAAATACTGACCTACATAAAGGTAAGAGACACTAATATTTGCCCCACTAGTGTTTCAGTACTTTTACTTGGCTTATTTAAGTTTTCAGTTAATTATTGGTATTATTTTGAATTGCAGTTAGTAAACATGGTCGTTACTGTATGTTACTGTATTCAGAGCTATTAGTGTTGTATTGAAGCTTTTAGTGTTAAAGCACATTTTAATGAGTTGGAAGGTTGCAGTGAGAAATGTTTGTCTTAAACAGTGAAAAGTGTGTTTGAGGATTAAACCATCAGGATTTGGAGAGATGATCCAGAACTTTGAGCAAACAGTAATCAGTCCTGCTTCTGTTTCTCCAAGCTACGCTGGACCTGGAGACACAGCCTGTGATGTCTGCACTGGGAGGAAGCTGAAAGCAGTGAAGATGTGTGTGAACTGCACTCAGTCTTTCTGTGAAACTCATGTGAAGCCGCATTACACAGTAAAAGCCCTGGAGACCCACACTCTGGAGGAGGCCGCTGTAGAGCTGGAGCCTCATTTATAAAAAGGACTATTTGTTTGTTTGAAATTCATAAGTTATACTGGCAGAGGGTTCTTTTCCTCCTTCACTCTGTTTCTGCAGGTTCTGCTGATGGTCAGAGCGTGGATCTGCTAGGCTGAGTATTGTTGTTCCAGATGATTCTGGACGTGGATGGCTGTAGATGATGGCAGTTTGGTTCTTTGGTGATGACACCCTTCCCTTTAGCTTCTGTGTTCACTGCCCAGACAAAGAGCCTGTATTTGCATAACTTCACTACTCAAGCTTTGTACCTGCACACTTAACAATGATGGTTCGTCAAGGGTTCTTTAGTAAAGAAAATCATTCACTATAGAACCATGAACATTCAAAGAACCCTTTCCCTGATTAATTGGCTCTTTGCTTCATGAACGTGTTCTTCAGGTTGATGGAGAATATGCTGTAGATGGTTCTATATAGAACCTTTTTGAAAATGGTTTAATATAGCACCAAAACGGTTTTTCTATTGTAACACGCCTGACATCGTTTATAGAACCATTTTCAAAAAGGTTCTAAAAAGAACCGTCTACAGCATATTCTCCATCAGTCTGAAGAACCCTTTCACAATGCAAAGAACCCTTTTATCATGCAAATGGTTCTTTGAGCGTTTATGGTTCTATGTAGAATTATTTTCTTTACTAAAGAACCCTTGAAGAACCATCATTTTTAAGTGTGTACAGTAGGGTTCTGTAGTGATGAACATGATTGCAAACAGGGAATCATAACGACTGCTTCTTTATACTAGTTTTTGTAAAATTATTGTGAGCATAAGTTTACAAATTAATGGATGAACCTTAACTTTGAGGGGATCACTTCCATGTGATCTTCAGATATTCATGTAATAAGTGAGATTATTTAGCAATAAATATATAAAATAATCATTTAACTTACAATGGAAGAACTATGAAAAATGTCTGAGACAGCATCTGTACAGTTACTGAAATTTTAATCTGATTTTCCATGGATTGAGGGTGGACAATATTGCTGTACGTGGAAACAGTTTAAAGCACGTTTTGGAAAAGTAAAAGTGGATTCATTTATTCAGACAAAACCCAAGAAAACATACCAAACTAAGTAACTAACTAACTAACTAACTATCTATCTTTTGAAATTATTTGATTTGACTTTTTCATCCATTTCTTTCTTTTCTTTTGGTTTGGTTAGTTTTGTTTATTGATTAGTTAGTTTGAGAGTTTGTTTATTTTGGCCTTGTACTTCATCCCCATAGCATGATGCTGCCACTAAACAATTAAATGATCTATCTGGCTTGTACTCAGTGGTTGGTGTTTTGATGTGGAAGAAGAGGGTCAGTGTTTGTCGTAGGTCCAGTGTTGTAGGCCATGACACATACTTGTATTTATAAACTCTGAACTTGCTCTGAAACATTGCTTACCTGTGCACAAAGTCGACATTCTGTCTCTCCACTGCTGTACCACTGCTTTCAAATACTGTTTTCAGTTCATGGCATCACAAATACCGGATCTGGTGACTAATTAAATAATTATCCTTTTCTAAATAGTATTTACTGATGTAAAGTTATCTTTTAAAACATGTTCATTGACTTTCCAGTAACCTTAAAATAAAGTCGTTCTTAGGAATTAGTCTTGTTTAAATTATTAGGAGAAAATATATATAAATGCAGTGATTTCTCTTTTAAAACCTCTGGAGTCTGTATATCAGGGCACACTATTGTTATACTATTATACACGATTTGTATGTAAAAATGAGCGGGATGTCTCTGGATGTGTAGATGTGTTACTTTGCATATATTGTTTTTCTTTGGGGAATGAGCTTAACTCTGGGCAGATTGTGAGACAAATGTTTATAAAATTGCTTGGTGATGCTCATGTATTGTATTAAACTTTTGATATTGTAATAATTAAGAAGTCTTTCATACTAATGGTATGACTTTGTAACTGCTTTTTACATTGTTTTTTAATTACACATACTTTGTAGCTGTTGGAACAAAACCTTGTATCTCCAAAATGATAACTTTACAGAAGAAGGAAAAAATGGAAAAATGTGTAACGGAAGATGATTTTTCCCAAGTCATTTTGGAACATTTCAATTGGTCTCTTCATTGTGGAATTTTAACACAATTTAAAGAGTAACTTTAGTTTTCAAATCGCAAGAAAAGTATAAAATGACAAAAATGGAAATACAAGGTTTTTGTGTGATAAACAGTGAATGTATTTGCATTGGTACAGAACTTATTCTCTTGTTAGCTTAGCTCAGGGATGTCCAGTCTTATCCACAAAGGTCCAGTGTGTTTGCAGGTCTGCATTCTATCAAATCAAGAACATACTTGATTCTACTTGTTTCTCAGTCTTCAAACAGTTGATCAGGTGAACTCCTGCCTTACTGAAATAAAAACGTGCAGCCATGCAGTAGCTGATTGTGGGGGAAATGGTCAGCAGAATTTTCATAAACAAGAAAATGTATCATTTCAGTCATATAGGCCACAGCTGACGTAAGATGGTAAATGGCCTAGTTTTATTTTGTGACTTTTCTTGTAGCCTGATAAATTTGGATAATTTGACATTCTGTGAACACAAAGTAATATTATTCTAAGATGTGTGGAAAACATTTTAATGATCATATTCAGCCAACACTCTCACACATCTTAATGAAAAAAAACACAGTTAAACATTACAGATGTTTGCATTTAGATTTACAGCATTTGGCAGACACTCTTATCCAGATCAACTTACAATTTGATCATTTTACACAGGTAGACAAAAGTAGTGTTATGAGTCCTGCCTAAGCACTCTTATTGAGACTGCACAGGGTTCTAGCCTAGACTGGGATCAAACCCCAGTCTACAGCATGGCAGGCAGAGGTGTTACCCACCAACCACTACATTTGGAGTCACTTAAACTAATGAATTAAAGCTAATGCAACACCTCGTTGAGATGAATAATAAGACATTTTGATAAAGATTATTTTTGGCCTGTAAGTAAGTTGATTTTATGTTCACTGTTTTCTAGTCCTATAGGTGATTACTAACCAACTAAATAAGTAAGTTTCAAGTTATCAGTCATCATGGTTCTGTTTGATCCACATGGGTACAAAGTTGACTAGAAGGGGTCCTGGTGGGCATGGGTACTAAGTGGGTTTGCAAGGGAAAAAATATGTGAGCTAAAAGAGGGCAGCCCAGAAAATCTTTACATATTGGGCCAAATATGGACTTGATTAAATATGCAGATGTTTTTTTTTCTTTTGCTTCAAAGATAATTGACATCTTTGAAGCATTTCAGTGATGTAGAGTACATTGTGCTTCATTGTTAGTTTACAATATTGGTTCTTAACTGGCCTTCAGTTGAAGTCATTGCATTTATTTCATTTCTTAGGTTTGCAGCTATTTTGTATTGTTAAAATCTGAGTCTCAAAATGATTATTTCAAATTAAGACCTCAAAAGGCTGTGTTTGGAATATAACATGAATTATATAAAACCCAGACAGACTCACTGTCATTTACAATTTAATTTTAGAAGAAAATTAATCTGTATTCATAACAGCATGTGAGCAATAGGGCTTGGTTTTTCAAAACCTTTAATCCTGATCCAAATTTTTCAGATAATCAAATCACCCTTTTTTCCTATCAAGGATCAAAATGATCTCACAGACTATGTCCCAGATTAGGAGAGTTGCAGGATAAGAATTTCTACAACTGATTTTCTGTGCTTTTAATAGCCCTCTCTGTGACCATCTACTGGACAAATGATGTATGATCTTGGTAAATAAAAAAATAAATATCACTTATGAACCACTTTAAAAGAGAAAATGCTTTTATTCTCCAGCTGCACCCTTAAGAATTACAGCTCATCTTAGGAGGCATTGTAAACATCACATTTGGGAAAAAAGTCATTTTAAATGATCATTTGAGAAACAAAGGTTCACAGTGTAACTTATCCAGCTGTTCATCACTGTAGAGAGTGACTTTGCGTGTTCTTGCTATATTGTGAAGAGCAATGCAGGAACAGATGATGTTGTATGCTTGCTTTGGCTCAACACATAGGTAGCTCAAGCAAGCAAAACGTCTCTTCTGGACCCCATTTAACTGCTCAGTAGTTCCTCTTGCTGTTGTGTGGGTTCTGTTAAATCTCAGCTCTGCATCTGTTAACTGTTGCAAAAGGTGTCATTAACCTTGATAAGAGTGGGAAAACACTGTAACCAAGTACGATGTGGTCTAGGGGGGCTTAAAAATCTCACAACACAGTTTGTAATGATTAGGTCAGCAACTTCCACAAGGTGAACATTAATGCTATGTCGTTCCATCCTGTTCACAAAGTGCCTGAGTACAGACATGGGTGCAGCTCATCACCCCAGTAGTGTTTGGCATTTTACTCAAGAAATAATCCTGTTTAATCTTTTTGAGGTTTTCTGGATTTTCAGGATATGCAACAAACTGGTTCAGAAGACTGGATATAGCAAATGGGACTCTATGAAACACCATACATACAGTGGATTTTGTAAAACACATACTGTCTCCAATAACTTGACAAAATGCTCCACATGCTTAGAACCACAACATGATTAGGTCTTGTACCTCTACAGTGAAGCTGTGGCTTCTTAGACTCTTAGAGCGACACTTTCTAAATGTGATTTAAGTAGAATGCAGATGAACAGAACGTCTTCCCAGCCAAATCTAAATTGTGTATAAAGGGTGTCATCTGGGTAATCTTCCTATTGCCTGTGGTGTTTATTGTGAACCCTCTTTTCAAATGCCATACTGGAAGCTGAGTGTATAAAACATGCAACTGATGGGTACGTTTAGCACTCAGGTCAGGAGAGTGAAAATGAAACTAAGTGAATGGGCTACAATCACAGTCTGAGTTAATGCCACTGGTAGTGGCCAGTTAAGAACCGTCAAACTAAGGTGGAAAAACTTGAAGCAGAAGGTCTGTAAAGACAACTCTGAAGCAAAATACCCTCAGACTGGGAACAAGCACCATACAGAAAGGGCATTTACTGATATAATCCTGGATATCATCTAAAACCAGGCTCTGCAGGGAACTTTGCCTGCCATAGAAAGTGAGTCACGACCTGAAAATACAGAAAATGACAGTGGGAAGTGTGAAGCTCTCAGTTCAACCTCAGAGAGCCTGTGGGTAATCCTTACCCCTGTGGAGTCTGAGTCTGGAGACGTGCTCATTTATAATGGACCACAACATTCAGCAGATACAGAAACATCAGTATCCCCCAGAACAAGAAGAAAGCAGGCTTTGAAAAACAGTGATGGCTATGAAGAACTTGGGAGGATGGAAACAGAAAAGACACACATACACCTGGCTGAGGACCAGATAAAGATAACCTTTCTTTAGAAGAAGACTGAATTACAAATTCCCTTCTTAAAAACAAAATAAAAGAAGCTGCAATTGTTATTTATGATGAAGACTGAAGATCCTCAACTTCTTGCATGTTTGTTCTTTTCTTTCATCTAAAATGTACTTTGTAAGTGGAAAATGTGAATTTGTTTACTACCATATTTCACTGAACTGATGTTTCTATTAAACCCAAACACACAAATTATGTGGTAAAGTGTTTCTAACTTTTACCAATAAGAGAAATCAACTTTTTTGCTACACTGTAAAAAGAAATGTGCTAATTCTGTGTCTGAAAATGTTTTCATTTAATT